AAACAGGGTTGGAGGGGGGTAGAAGGACTCGACACTTCCTCCTGAGCTGGGCTGCGCTGAGCTGGGCTCTGTCTGCAAGGTAAGGCTGCTTTTAAACTCTCTCCTTGGATCTAGAACCACCTCAACGCGCCCGTGCTGCTCCCCGAAAAATCCTCCCTCTCCTCGGGCTTTTCCTTGGGGATTGGCTCTTGACAGCAGCAGATTTGTGGCACTTTGAGTCTTGCAACAGCAGCAGCCGCTGTCCTGGTGTGCCAACCCTCTGTGTGAACACATGGAGGAGTTCAAACAGCGGCTGCTGGCGCTGGAGACAGCAAAATGTTAAGCGTGGGCAATTAGAGGTGCTCCAACTCTCCTCCAGCATCATTACTAGGCACAGTTACAATTTCCTTCTCTTGCCTGATTTCTTGGGGAATATATTGTATTTAAAAGTCACTCTGCAATAAGAGCAACTTGCAAATCTGTTTTTTTCCAATGGTGATTTGTATTGCCATAAAAAAACCTACGGGCTGCCTGTTTTGTGCCACCCAACCCTCTGTGACTGAGCTGCAGCAGGAGGAAATTATTAATAGTCAGGGGACACGATATGACAAAAATAGCAAGATTGCTTGCACAGGCATTTGTTAATGAGAATCCTGAAGTGGTTTTAATTCATAATTCAAACTGCTCTGGATTAAAACTTAACGGACTGAAGTTTTCAGCTGTAATTTGTAGAAGGTGTTTTTTTGCAGTTTTTGCTTTCACTTGCACCAGCAGCTCAGCTCTGCCGGGAGCCCAGCAAAGCAGCACGTGTGGGTTTGGTGCTCACAGACAGGATTCACGGTGGGTGGCCCCTCAGTGTGACATTTCTTCAAGTGAATGGAGAGGGAATCCCAGGGAATGGGGGGTCAGGATGTCAGACTGCAGGAGAGGGTTCCTCAGCAGGCTGGAGCAGGAGCTGTGCAGGGAAAGAGGGATTTTTGTTCTAGGACATGTTTTTTAGTGTCAAGTGAAAGTGCTGGGACTTTGGCTCCAGTTCCAACATCCCCAGCCATGGGAATTACATCCATGATGCAAATCCCTGCACGGAACAGCCCTTGCCCAGCCTGGGAGGAGCTGCAGCTGCTGCTGCAGGAGGGAGAGTTGCACCGGTGCTGCAAAATGAAAATTTCTCAGAAAACCCAAAGCTGCTCTTTTTCTGTGAAGGAAAAAGTCCCTTTAACTGCTGAATGTTCCACTCCAAGGGCAGAGGTTTCGCCTCATTGCAACTGCAGTGGGTCACTCACAGCCCTGCTGGGAGGGCAGAGACATTTGTGTCCTCATCAAATCCATCAACCTCTCTGCTCATGGGCATCTCAGAAAGGTCCAGCACTCTGGAACGACATTCCTGTGCTTCTCAATCCTTTCGAGAGGAACACATTTTTCCTAGAAATGCCATGGTTATTTTCCAAAGATCCAGCAATAACATGCACACTTATTGTGTCCTTTTTGCAACAGCCTCAGAAATACAGACTAACAAAAATGTAAAAAATAGTAGTTAGATCACAATATATTTGTTTATCACCAATTTTTTTTTTTAAATTTCATATTCTGAGGGCACTGTTGCAGCAGGAGCTGTCTCTGCAACATGTAAATCAGCACTGATAAAATCTGATGGAACTTCTCAGCCTTCTACAGCCTTTGCTGCACACACACATCATGCAGAGAAGGACTTTGCTTTCTTGACAGCTCTGGAAACCTCATTTTAAGGCTCTGAGTGGTATTTCTGTGTGTCTGCTTTTGTGCAGAGGTGGGAGGATGGTGTAGGACTGAACTTCAGTCTCAGCAGAAGTGAGAGGAAGCAGAAACGCAGTAATTTTGTGGTCCCCTGTGCATATGTCTGGGAGCATTTCATCTAAAGAGATGGTTTAATCTGGTTATATTTTTATGGCTTTGTAGTGAAGTCATTCGTGCTCAGGCTGATGAGCCAGCAGACACCACCCCTGTGTGCACTAACTGTGTTCATGCCTTAGCTCTGCCAGCCAGGGCACCCTGCCTCAGCCCCTTCCCTTCAGTGCCTGACCCCGAGTTCCCTGAATGCAGAGAGGGATATTCTGACTCCAGGGAAATCCCTCTCCTGTTCACAGTCCCTATGTTATATTTGATCGAGGTGGTGGGGCTGGGACATCACCTGCATTCCCACAGGGTGGGTTTTATAACCTCTTGGCTCCAAGGTTCACCTCAGCTCCATGGTCTCCATCAAAGTGCAGCTTTCCAGGGCTCTTCTACCTGTAAATAGAATCATTGAATCATTTAGGTTGGAAAAGACCTGTAAGATCATCAGCAGAGACGACACCAGCAATGGGACCACTCCTGGGAGCATTTTCCCCCTAATATCAGTTATTCAGCAACACAAGATGTTTTCAATTTGGTGTCACTCTAGAAGATAACACTCACACCGCCACCTCTGCCACTCAGACAGCACTTGGGGGTTAGAAGTGTAGCTTAAAGAGGGCGAAGAAATGAAATCTTGATTAACTCTGACACCTTGTGGACAATTAGCAGAAGGAGGTGATGGGCGAGGGGGAGCCTCCCCACGCTGTGGGGTGTGCTCAGCCCTGGGCTGCTCCCTGTGCCTGGGCATGGTTTGCTGCCAGCAGAGAGTGATGGCTGAGCTCTGGTGTCACCCTCGTGTCACAGAGACACATCCTGGACACGCTGTTTTACCCCAAACAGCCCGTTCAGAGCCCAGTTTGAGTCAGCACCAACCCCCTGATTGCTAGTGCTGCACTCTGGTCACACGGGATGTAAATAAGGACTAACTGTAGCTGAGGACCTCAGTGAGCAACTGGCTGATGTGACTCACTGGAGTGAAGAACATGCACCCATGGCCAGCATTTAAATATAAACCTGGCTTTAAAATACAGCGTTTTCCAAACGTCCCTAATCCTCCGTGGTTTCAGTTGGGTTTGGAGGAGCACCAGGCAGTCAGTCACACCTCGACATCCAAGGGAAATCAGGCAGAAAATGACTCTGAAAATGGCTCTTTAATGGCTTCTTAGCAAAGTGAGAGGTCACCTGAAGGGACAGTAACTGGGTGTGGAGAGCAGTGCTCTTACCAGAGACAAGGGCAGCAGATGGCCACGTCCAGCTGGAGCTGCAAAACCAGATGGAAATGAAACATCCCGAGCCCCAGAAATTCCCAGCACTGCCAGGAAATGGGATGTAACCCACATTTACCATTCTGAGAAGCAACAGCCTGAGGGAACACCCCAGTGCTCAGCTCCATGCCCTGCCACTCCCTGTCTCAGTGTCCCGAACACCAGGACGGAGAGTGGGAGGCCTCCAGTGTTGCTTCTCAGACTGGTGGAGACAAATCCATGAACCAGCTGCATTTTTCCACTGTGTTTCCAGCACCATTTGAGCCTCTTCCCTCTTCATGGGCGTGTTATGGTGTTGTGAGAGGAGCAAGGCTGTGGTGTCCTGGGATGGGGCAGCTGAGGAACATGAACATCTTGTCCCAGAGCTGCCTTGTAGAGAGGGTTGTTGGGAATGAACTGGAGGGATAAAACCAGCTCTGAGGCCTCCAGCAGTTGTGCCATCTCGGAGGGGGAAGGGGACTAGACAGAGAGTTTCTCAACTGCAGCACTTCTGTGATGTTTGGTGCAGCTGAAGCTGCAGGAGATAAACATGCAGACCTTGGTTTTTGAAGGCATGAAAGAGAGGTTGAAAAAAAAAAGCAAGAATCTGTGTGGGGAGCCCACAGGAGCAGTGTCACTGATGGTATCAGCCAGAGCCAGACCACCCATGGTGAGGGTGGCTGTGTCCCATGAGGACCTTGACATCTCTGGGCTTTCTGGGACCTGAATCCCAACCCTTCCATGGCAGCCTGGAGCAGTGTCTGTATGAGCTGCCAAATCCAAGCACCTCAACGACTAACAACCTGAAAAAACAGCTACTGGTGTTCTGTGTCACTGAGAGCTCCAAACTCAACCCTTTTTGTGTAGCATGAAGGAAAAAAACCTTAGTAACGGGGTAGGAGTTACTAATATGTACCTACAGAGACAGTTCTTCTGGCAAATGCCCCTTGCCAGTGATGCAGGAAATGAGTCAGAAGCAGTGAATCAGTGTCTGCAGTGCCACATGAAATAGGAAGCTGATATTCAGTTTTAACCGTTATATTAACACAGGAGGGAATCACTGTAATGAGAATTATAACCCTGGCAGGAAAACCCCAGCAAAACCAAACTCCTTCTGCCTGTGTTGCCTTCCTGAAAACAAGTTACACAACTTACTGGTCCCAGTTCCAAAAGCTGACAAGACAAAGGTGGCCCAGCAGTTCAACATGTGGTGTTTTACCAACACAGCTGTGCCCAGCAAACACCTGAAAGTGTCCAGGGCCAGGCTGGACAGAGCTTGGAGCAGCCTGTTCTAGTGAAAGGTCTCCCTGCCCCTGGTAGGGAGCTGGAATGAGATGGCCTTTAAGGTCCCTTCCAACCCAAATCATTCCATGATTCCATGACTCGGTGGTCATCACCCACATTCTGATCACTGGGCAATGTGATTGCTGACATACAGAGGTTGGGCTATGGGCCACCTTTCACCCCTGATACCCAGAGACCTAACCACAGGTGACCTCGAGGAGGTGGCCAAAAGGACAGGCAGCTTCTCATGCTGCTCTGTGACCAGTATAGTACAGCTTCACCCATGCTTGTGGGACTGACACACCAGGAATGGTCCCCAGTTCTGTGGGAACAGTGGGACCTCTGAAAGGGCAGCTTTGAAGAAGGCAGCAGAATGCTTCATACAGACAACAATTCCAAACCTCTACTTTGCACTGAACAGTCAAACAGGAAAGCCAAACATGAGTATTGACACCTCCCTCAGTGCCTTTGCCTTTACATCCCATTTTTGTTCCTGACAGGAATGACCCACCTGCCCCACACCACCACAGACACTTCCAGCAGCCCAGTCATGATCCAGAGCAACCAGTCCTGCTCCAGCGACAACATCACGTTCAAGTCCACCCTGTA